TGGCCACATCGGCTTCATCGACGTCAAAAAAAGACATCAATGGTGTGGGGTTGGTCGCCCTCAGCTCTCTCAGGCTCTGCATTGTTATCTGGAGCTTCATGCATTGGACCAGCTGATCTATGCCGTCCATCGGCATCTCTACGTGGGCTTGGTACGGGTGTTTGTCCAGCCTGGACTTGGCGTAGTCACAGCCCTCCACCGGACAGGGCATTTTACGTATATTGATCTGACCACTTGCATACTGGAGAAATATTTTGCGCTCCTGCTGATTGCTCATGTGGTGCATTTTAAGCAGGTGCTTACCCAGATACTTATAACTATAGTGGCACAAAGGGCAGTCAAAGGCTTTCCTAGGACGGGTCATCTTGCAGAAGAGATCTGAAAAATAAAAGAAAAGCTTAACACACAGCTTTCAAAGATCCAGCAGCCGGACTACGGCTAAATAGGAGCCGGGAGATGAGAGCCTGAGGCCCGCTGATCATCCTGCTGCGCCGCTGGCACATGGCTATCAGCGGAGCCGAGGCTAAGCTACAGATCGGCCGCCATGAAGCCCCCACGTGGGCCCGCTGATCATCCAGCTGAGCCGCTAACGCATGGCCGGCAGCTGAATGCCCAGGGGCCGCAGACTACCCAGCAAACAATACCCCACGCTATGCTAAAAGGCAGACGGGTGAAAGCGCAAAGCATAACAAACAAAGCCTTACCGTTCAATGGGGGAAGGGTCGATGTGTGGCCCCTTAACCAGTGTGGCTCTCCTCTAAAAAGTGCGTGAGTCACCGTGAGTCTTAGTGGTGCACGAGCCTCCTCTCTGTGCTGCGTAAAGCTTCGATCCGTGCTGCGTAAAGCTCCCCTTGTGCAGTCCGTGTACATCCGGATGGCGGTCTGCTAGTGGACCGAGGAGATGGAGCTTATATGGGATGGGAGGTGCGGCGCCTGCTAGTCTGCTTAACAAGGTACACCTGGTGAAGCCCCATGATTGAGGCCAGCCATGCCGAAATGAGTGGCCAATCAGCGCGCAGCAGGGTGCCAGAAAGTCTGCCTCTCCGGATGGCGCACCTCTGCCGCTCTGCATGTCGGCAATCTAGTCCAGCGGTCAACCTCTTGCCCTCCCCATTGGGAGACCGGGGTTCGTCACCCGGAGCTTGCGGATCTTTTATTTTTTTAGCCCAATCAATAAAAATTATAACCCCAGGTTGTGGCTTGATCCACCGGGCAACCTCTTTTCTCTTGCCCCGCTGCTCTTCTCCTCCACACAACCGCGGGGAATTGGAGGTTCTTAAAGGGGAATTGATCAACCAAAGCCGGGCAGATTCATTATTGCTACCACCATGGAGAAATGCTTTAAACACACGCACCCAACCCGGGAAACAGTCACAGTGATAAGCATTATCACACCAAATATATGGGTCACTAGTTCTGCAGAACCAAAACAAGGACCGGGCCCTCCATTGCACAGATCGAATACAGAAGCACCATGCCCGCTTCCAGGTCACGTGACCGGGCCAGTCAAGCGGTAGAGTGGCCGCCTCTGGTGCGGGGGTTCGGAGGTTCAAGGCCTGGTCGTGCTTTTTGAACTTTTATGTGAAAATGTGACTGGAGCTTTTTTATTTTTTTAATAAAAATATAGATCAATTGTAGCCTGGTTTCCAGAACCAGGGGCCCCATGGACCGGGCCCTGGTTCTCCACAGGCCTCCAGAAACACGGGGTCCGGTTCAGAACCACCCAGGGACACGTGTCGAGACCTGGGGACAGTCATCAGCATGGCCTGGGTCCAGAACCAGGCTCCAGAACCAGGCCCAAAATCGGGCCCAGCACCGCCCTGGTACTCCACAGGCCTCCAGAACCATGGGGCCCGGTTCATAACACCGGGGAAAGGTGTCGAGACCAGGGGACAGTAATCCGCAGGGCCTGCTTAACCAGAACCAGGGGGGCCCATGGATCGGGACCAGGCTCCAGAACCAGGGCCCGGGCCCATGGAGCTCCTCTCCCCAGAGGCGGAGCACCGCGGGCCCGCCATGGGCTGAGCACATCCACCTGCGGGGCCCCTGGACCGGGCCCATGGTCCAGAACCAGGGACCGGGCCCATTCTGGGGACAGAACTGAGCATTAAACGGACAGAAAGCCGCATAGCACTTGACCTTTGACCCCTGGAGAACACCGCACAGGCTAATAGGAAAATATACTATATTAATAGGACATAATTCGGCATCACAGGGGACTTTACTAGGCAGGGCCTTGGTCCAGAACCAGGGCCTGGGCCCAGGGACCGGGCCCATGGACCGCGCCCATGGTCCAGAACCAGGGCCCGGGCCCATGGAGCTCCCCTCCCCAGAGACGGAGCACTGCGGGCCCGCCACAGGCTGAGTGCACAGTCTGACCTCCACACAACCACCTGCAGGGCCCCTGCTTTTTTTAAATGCTCATTCGGGGACAGAACTGCGCATTAAAAGGACAGAAAGCTGCACAGCACTTGACCTTTGACCCCTGGAGAACGCCGCACATGGCCCGTGGGCTTAGATCTCGGTGTACTGGAGCATTTTAAATAGGAAAATATACTATATTTATAGGACAGAATTCGGCATGACAGGGGACTTTAATCGGCAGGGCCTGGGTCCAGAACCAGGGGCCCATGGACCGGGACCAGGCTCCAGAACCAGGGATCGGGCCCATGGAGCTCCTCTCCCCAGAGACGGTGCACCGCGGGCCCGCCACAGGAGGAGCGCACAGTCTGACCTCCACACAACCACCAGCAGGACCCCTGCTTTTTTTTTTTTTTAAATATGCTCATTCGGGGACAGAGCTGAGCATTAAAAGGACAGAAAGCCGCACAGCACTTGACTTTTGACCCCTAGAGAACTTTGTAAGACCACACCCCGTGGTGAAACCCACACATGCGTTTTCCCAATCCTGTGAGATAACCCGCTTTCAACTTGAACTTTTAAATAGGAAAGATTTAAAATTCAGCATTAGACTGCATTCACACACTGGGATCCACACACTGCACCTCCAGAACCAGCTGAGCAAGTGGGGCTCCTTTCCCCACAGTCGGAGCACTCTGGGCCCGCATCAACCTCCGTGGAGCAGCCCCTGGTTCTCCAGAACCCACGTCATGTCCCACACACCACCCGTTTTGCCCACCTCAGCCCACACTGGCACTCAAAAGCTCAAAAAACCCAAACAATGATCCCCTGTGTCCGACTTGGGACCCCTTTGTCCCACCTCACCCCTCGCCAAAAGCTCCGATAACGCCGTAAAAGTACTTAATACTCTCATCTGGCCATATTTGGCCCCCTTTGTCCCACCTCACCGCACTATCCGGCACTCAAACAGTTAAAAACACGAAATCCACCCAAAATTCCCACTTCGGACTGACTTCTGGCACGCCAGAAACCAAAGGCAAGACTGCCCCCCCAGTGTGTCTGCTATATATTGCACATGCACTCCTGTGGCCCACTTGGGACCCTCTTGGCACTGTTAAACAACTACCCGGGTGGCCCAGTTGCCCTTCCTGCCACGGGGGAACCAAACGGGCCAGGAGTCCGGACGACAAATGGGACACTTCGGTCACTTTTTCTGCGGCTTCTAACCCTAACCCTAACCCTACCCCACAATAGGGGAAGAGCGAAGTTTTCAGACACCCGGGCGAATTTGAGAGTTTTTTGAAAAATTCCTGGGGCCAAACCGGAGGCCCCAGGGTCCGGGGACCTGGCCCTAAAAATAGAGCAAGGCCTGGTGACCCTTATGCCCGGGTCACCCGATTTTTCACGCCCACCCTGAGCCCGGGGCGGACCCCCAAAGTGGGCAAAGTTTGACAAAAAACTTGGTTTTTTTGCAAGTTAGAGTGCTGTTCCCGAAACCACCAGAGGTCTCCAGAAACAATGTGGACAGCCCGGTAGTTCTTTGCATGGGGACATTTTGTCGCACATTTAATGGGACATTTCCTAGGCCCCGGGAACTCGGGTCGAGATGAGGCATTTGGGGGTGGGACATTAGGTTGCACCGGGACCGAGACAAGGCTGGGCATAATTGAATTGGTCCTCCCGTATTACTTTTGAATGGGAAAAAAGTCGGCATCAACCTTACCAGGGGCCCAGACATAAATAGGCACTTCGCCATTGACACCGGGAAGCACCGGAGCATC